CACCAAATCAGATATACTGATTATCTGTGCTGTAAAAAGAACAATGAGTTTTTCTAGATCACGTGCTTGAAAAATGTGGTGTTGGAATGAGTTTTGAACCAAGTTCAGGCAATTGTTGCTAATGATAAAATACCTTCTGGGGATACTGTACTGCTCAAGCTTGCAGTCTTTGAGAAATCCTTATAATATAGTCAGCTGCTATTGCGTCGTATTCATGTCATGATGTCCACTTTAATTCATTTATTAAGATTTGTGCTTTTTCTCTCAGCTTTTATTATGATCTGCAAAACTGATTCTTTGTGCTCTACTGGCATACTTGTGCTACGATGTCTACCCTTCCTGCTAGCCAATTCTACATTACTGTTTGTGTGGTACCTGAATTTGCTTACATTGCATTATCTGATGCTTCTTTGATTCATAAGTAGACTGAAGTATCTCTGAGACAAGGTTGTCTTTTCTCTGTTTGAAAACTGTCTAGCAAAATGAGGTTCTGATCCAAAACTAGGACACTGTGCTGTTTTGTTGTTGTCAACAAAGTGATAAAGAATACCAAATCAGAATATAAGGAATTAAGAAACCGTTCATTCTCCAGCAGGTAAATAAAAATGGTGTGCACATGCCTGCTTACAGCCTCTTGTCTTTTCCTTACAAAGATGTCTGTCTCTGATATGAGTGGCAAGTCATCCCATAAGGAAAATTCATCTGAAGACAACAAAATGGTGAATTTGTCTCTGATTGTCAGTTTACCCTGGAATGCCCTTTTCCTTTTAGTATCTTTTCCATTTTCTCACAGACTCAGAATAGTACTTCCCTTACTTCATAGGCAGCTATTACGTCTGTTTTATCCATGTACAAAGCACAGGAAAAATAAAATGATAGGTGCCCTGATAAGTTAAGGAGGATAAACTTTTGAAGTCTACAAATAATGCAATTCCTTTTGGCTGATTGATTTCAAGTAAGTGCAAAGGACACAAACAACAGTTTTTTAAACTGAAAGGGATACATCTGAATGATAGATAACTGCAGTTCAAGTAGAAACACTTTTAGAAGTTGCTTTATGGAGAATTGGCTCACTCTGTCCCAGACTCCTATTTCTATTCAGTGTAACTGAATGCTAGTTCCTTCAACTGAAAAGAAATTGGTAAGGAAGAAACGTCTCCTCCTACTACTCTATTTGTGGCAGTGTGCATGTGAGCTGCTCAAAAAGCAAAGCTCTGTGCAAGTTAAACAGCTACACTGCTTTTTGGTAGCTTGGAGCAGTATCAAGGATGTAGTAGGCTTGTTGTTGCAATACTTATAATACCTGTGCTGGCCAGCTAAGAAGAGTCATTGTATCTCTCTTGCTCCCTCTCACCCCTCACATGTGCCAGAGCAGGCAGCATTAGTGCTCAGGTCATGTTTAGTCTTGGAGAAATGTCACATGTGATTTCCTCACCCCACTGCCAGGAAAAAAAAAAATTCATCTTGGCTGCAGGTGGGCCCAAGGCTTGTGTCTTGCAATTTAACACTTAGTAAGTATTCAGAGAAACTTACCATGCGTTTGAAGTCTTTGTCCCTCTTCCTTCCCTTCTTTCTTTCTTCTATCGTGATCTTGCATATGTTTTCCTGTTAGGCAGTAACTATTTTTTTCTCAGTGCAAGTTTCAGCGTGCACTATTAAAGTACGTATCCTGCAAGATGTAACATGGGCTTCTCCTTATGAAGACGGTGAGCATTTATGCATGGAAACATCTTAGCACATATATTATGCTCTGTTTTTTCCATCTTCAGTTTCAGTTATTTTTGCACTTTTGTCTTTTAGTGTAGCAATCCCAAATCTGTCCTTCCCCTCTCAGCATGTAGCATGAGAAGCTGGGAGAACAGCGTAGTCATCTTCCTGATGCTACAGAACAGCCAGCGAGAGCAAAAATGCCCCCACGTGAGGAAGCAAGAATTACATGAATACAGAGAGAGAAAGAAACCTTGGTGGACAAAAAGCTTCTTGTATAAGAACATGTTAAACCAGAAACAATTGCAGGAATTTAGTCTAAAGTAGCTCTAAAAACAGGTGAAGGTTGTTTACAAGACACTTTTATTATATTAATTTTACCTTCATTTTCAGTGGTAGAGTATAACTGGAAATATAGGCCTAGGTAGAGGAGGGATTCTAACTCTAGTCAGGTATACAACGTCTCGGGACTAGGCAGGCAAAACCCAGTCATATTTGCTGCAGTAAGCAAGTATAAAGAGGCCTGGGACTAAGAAGAGTTAAAAGCAAATATCTGCGAGCTGGGAGCAAAGTTATAATTTTGTTGTGGGATGCTCTGGAATGGGACAACTTTGCTCACCATTTGTTTGAGCTCTGCCCTTATACATGCAGGTTCATGTCCTTGGAGGATGAAATTTCCACCTACGTATTTGTTAGCTAAACTTGGCTCCATCTACCTTGGAAAAACAAACAACAATATAAAGCCACATATATAGTGCTGGGTTATAGATCTTGGTTTTTTTCCCTGATAAATTCTCGAAATACTTTTGTTTATTCCCTCACTTTTCCACTAGCTTTAAGTAGGATATTATGGCTTCAAATGATAATGCATTGTAAGCTGGAAAAACAAAGAAGTTGAAATAAATTCACTGGAATTTACCCACTATCAAATTTTATTCAAGTTTTTTATTTTGCTTTTTCCTTGTTTAAATTATTGAGATGAAAATCTAAAAGGATACCTCTAAGTACTTAAATGATCTGTTCTTCATTTTTATTATTCTAACATTAACATTTCTTAGCCTAGATTTTAGAGAATGGTATATTTTTCTTAGGTGTTAATACCTGATTCAAAGATACTAGCTTAAAGAAAAAACCCCTTATTGGATCCTGCTGGCTTTGGATCAGGCTCCTACTGTTTCTTTCAGAATAAATCCAGAATTTTATTTTCAAACAGAATTTCAGGGTTTTTTTGTATAGTTCTGCCCTAGAGTGGCACGTTGCTGTTGCCCAAGACCACTGAACTAAGTGGGAATCGTACATAAGGACAGCAAGGAACAGCAACTTTTTGATTCCCGCAGTGATATTTCTTCCCTCTTTCTTTTCACTTGTGAAATAAATAGGCAAAGAGATGTTACTGCCAGAAGAGTGGGTAGATTTGTGTTAATGCCTAAAAGCAAATGTCAAACGATAGAAATGTCACAGTCTATGCTTTCGAAGTATATAACCAGGTAGATAGTTATTTTGCTGTATTGTTTCTTTGAAAACTATCATAATCCTCTATGTAATCTTGTATTGGGCACAAATACTGTGCTACATGACAAATTCTTCTAAATTTAGCAGCACAGCTTTGTAACGTTAGACAGGGAAAGGCAAAAGAAAGTTTGGGTGGATAATTCCTCTCTCCCTGAGAAGAATGTCTTTCAGAAATAGTCATACAAAAGAAATGCTTATAGCTGTGAGTCACAGCATTCGTGGGTTGAACCATTATTCTTTGCAGGTATATGGGCATACATTTTCAGGATTAGTAAAATGTAGATGTATTATTTGTAATAAATATATTTTAGAATAATGGCAGGGCTATGATCTCTGAAAATCTCAATTCTAAAGAAAGATTATGTATTGACTAGAGGAGAGATTGACGCTCAAGAATAAATTTGTTCTTTTTAAGAACATTTTAAAAGAATCACTTCAAATATTTTCTTGAAATGCAAAAGACATGGAAGCTAGACTTTCTAGAATAAAGTATCAGACACCCATATCAAAGATCTCTACCGCACAGGTAGCCTCTGAGAAGTGGTGCTTCTGGTGAATTCGACAGTCCTTTCATTTTGCACATACTGCTCTCTGACTTTTTT